AGATGGGATTTCACCATGTTGGTCAGGCTGGTCTGGACTCCTGACCGCAGGTGATCCGCCCGCCTCGGCCTTCTAAAGTGCTGTGATTATAGGTGTGACCCACCGCGCCCGGCCTAGAACTACTTTAAATAAATGTTTTGCTTGTTTGGTAAGGGTGGATAAAGAGGAAGATGTGAAGAGGAGGCAGACAAAAGCAAAAGGAAATCCTGTCAGTAGGAAATGGTCAAATTACAATTCAGATGTGCAATGTTTGCATAAGTAAACTGACAAGGGAAATTTTCAGACACATCTTGGTACCTCTTCCTAATCTTGCCCTGGTAAAATGGGGGTTATCAGTGCAAGTTTGAGGATATATACAGTTGGAAAATGGACATCACCAAACTGGACTCCAGAAAGCTCTGTCTAGGATTTTATTAGACTGCTTTTTTCTCAATATACCTGTATTGGAAGATTGAGACAAAAAGGCACAAACTCACATTAAATAAACAAGGTAATCTAATCAATTCTACAAAGTGTAGTTTGTAAAAGAAGTAGCACTAGGAACCAACCAAAGTCAGGGAGTCCCAGCAGGGACTGTAAAAGGAGAACTTGGGAAGCTATACACATGCCCACGATACTGACCCTGTCCCAGACCTCTCTGCATGAGAAGGCCAGAGCCCAGCACCCCTCCTACAGAGGCACTGCTGCTTCTGTTGGGGCTGTGACCCTGGAATTCTAATGGAAGCAGCTGGTCTGAAGTGGCATGGCACACACTCAGGTACTACCCCTGGAGCTGAGCCTTTATCATAAATCCCTCTGAGTGCTAGTCAGTTTGGGGGGGGGGGGGGGGGGGCGTTGACGAGGAAAGGGGGTACTTAAAAGAAGCCAACACTGTTGCCCAGCAGCAACACCATCCATGGGGATGGAACAGACCAGGGACATCCTCCTTTGTTTATATGGGCTGGAGTTCCAGATCCAGGCTGACCTTAGCTCATAATGGATGCTTTTCAACTGGGGCAACAGGTGGAGGTGGGAGGAGCCCTCGTTAGGGCTAAAGTGATATGTGTCGGTCTCAAGAACCAAAAGAAGGAGACTAACAGCTGCTGACCCTCAGACCACGTAAACAACTGTCTGCCTAGAATGTTAGTTTGTCTGTTTCGAGATAACCCACATCTGGACTTCCCCTAGTTGATGAATGAAGAAGGGACATCTTTAAGTACAAATATAATTAATAGCTAATACAGAGCTTACAGGAAAACATTTACATTTTTCTCCAGTAGGAATGCCTCTTCTCCAACTTTCCAAGTCAGATAAATGCTACCAGCAGTTGAGATGCTACCCAGATGCATTACTAAAGACCCCTCAAGGTGAGGAGACTCACACAGAGGAAGGTGTCTGTAACAAGACATCTGGTTCCAAAGGGACCTCATGAAGGTCAGAGCTAACCATGCTGGGGGTCTGAGTCTGTCCACCCTTGCCCCAGGAGGGCTACAGGGAAGCGTCCATCAGGATGGCACAGGTGCAATCCTGTGAGACACTCCCTTATTGCACTTAGAAATGAGTAAGGCAAACAAACTGACAAAAACAGGATACATTCTCCCACCCACTTCTTGCTTCCCAAAGATTTGGTCTCTCATTAGCAGATGCACCCAGGCTAGCGTGGGCTGGGATCATGGCACACTTAGGCCAGCGTGCTTCACAAGGTTTGGGGACTGTCAGGTGACACTACAGCTCTCTCAGATTCTCCCACTAAGAGGCAAACTCAGGCCCTGCCAAGTTGTAGGAAGCTGTGAACACTGGGCAGCATCTATTCCCCTGGAGCCTGGACTTCCTCACCAGCCTACTTTGGTCGGGTTCTGTACTATGATCACTACTTGCTTTGGATTTTCCAGGACAGAACTCAACATGGGGGTAGGACGGGCTAAGTTCTTGATCCCCAAATTCCTTTCCGGCAACTGGAGACGAGGGAACATGTTCTGCTGGAAAAAGCTTTTTGCATGCTCATATTGTGCAGCATGAAAGATCAGGACTCTTGTGTCCTAACCAGCCTCAAAGACAGAGGACAGGGACCTAAGAAAGCACAGAGAAAAGAGGATTATTGCTGAGTGGCAGCACCAGCCCCAAAGGGAAGAGGAGGAGCGGGGACGTACAGAGCTCCTCGGGGTCGGACAGTTGGCATCTAGGGGGCGACTCAATTCTAGGGGCCACATTCTAGGAGAATTCCCTCCAAGTGGAGAGTTGACTGGGGGTGATTTTGTAGGTTCTGCAGAGAGATTCAGAGTGGGCAACAGGAGAGCCAAGAAGCCACAGGTGTTTCTAAGAACAGTAACTAGAGATTCAGTGATTGGGGCAGTTATTCATATTTGTTAAATTTTCTTAAATAGAGACTGGCTGGGCCTTGGGTACCTCCGTAGTGCTAGAGTGCCCTAACGATGGGTTACTGGGAGCAGAAGTCAGAGCTGCAAAACCACATTGCTATTTTGTGGAAGTGGGGGGGGGCGGGGGAAACACTGTATCTTTAGCTCATCCCCTCTCCCCACATGAGCACTCAAAATTGCAAAGATCTGCCCAGGAAGCAAAATACCTCAGTTTATCCAAGGTTGAGAACAAATGAACTTAAATCATTTAAATCACCACATCACAAAAGGCAGCTATTTGAAAGACTGAAAATGTCACTTGGAAATAAAGGCCGGGGGCACACACAGAAGTGGGTCAGAACACAATGGAGAGAGACGGAGGAGCTGTAAATACAGCAGCCTACACGCCACGTATCAGAGGAGCAGGCTCCTGCACACGCGGGCTCTGTAACATCAGACGGTCTATTTGTTCACAATATTAAAGGGCATCTAGAATTAGCTACAGTAAGGGATCGAAAGTTGCCTGAAGAATGGGCACAGAACGGCTGCGTCCGAAGATGGCCTGTCACTTGGGAGGATGGAGCTGCTGGGCCTTCCTGTTGACCACTGTCTTGCAAAACTAGAAGAAAAATAAAAGTATTAAGGAAGCAAGAGGAGAAAACAGAAACACTGTAAATCATCCTGAAAAGGAGGAGGGATGCCAGTGGGTGGGGGGGGAAGGGAGTGGGGAGGGCACTGAGGCCCGAGCAGTGATTGAGAAGCTGGCATCACAGCAGTCCACCTAATTCCACCCTCCTGCCCCCCAGAAGCTGCTTTAGGAACATGGGGCAGGGAGAGTAAGCAGGGCCTGGCATCACTGCTGGTGAGACCCTGGTCCTCCTTACCCTCTTAGTGTTAAGAGGCCAGTTTTTATTTGCGAAAATGATTTTTTCTCTGAGCCTAATTGGGAGCAGAGCCAGGTTTTTCATTCAATGATTAGACTGCTGTGAGCTGCTGGAATCCCATGACCCGGGTGGTGTACAGGGCACTGGGAAACCAGCACTGAGAGCTAACGGAAGGAAGAGGCTTGGGGAAGAGTGACAGCATGAAACAAGGGGCCCCCACTCTGGCCCTGTAACCTGGGCAGAAACACCCTCCCAGCATCTGAAAGATGCCACCTCTGATGAGGGCAGCTTAGTGTGGGATCGGGGGTATAAAGAGGAAGGAAATGAAAAACCAGACACAACAGTGGGTTCTAACCAAAGCTGTCTGGCCAGCAAGTTTTCCAAGGGGGAAGGGCAGGTAATGGCAGCTTTTGGGAGCTAGGAACTGGCGCTCGCATGGGAGGGCCAGGAGTGCCCAGCATGACAGCTGCAACTTGAGATGGATCAAGGTGCCGAGGGGAAGAGTGATTAGCAGCAGATGAACTTCCCTGCTATGTCCACCACCCTCCCTGTCCATGTCTCTATCTGGATGGTTCTTTGGAAAACGTCCCTGAAATGTCCCAGTAGCCATAATCTCTTCTAGAGGAAGCAGAGAGCTGTTGAGCATGGCAACCATCATGACTAGAGGGAAGGAGGAATAGGTTTTCTGACTCCATAGTGAGCTGCTGAGGCCTCGAAACCCAAACTGATTTTAGCGTCTGTGACACGCACAGTGAGAAATGTGGCACGCGCAGTGAGAAATGTGACACGCACAGTGAGAAATGTGGTACGTACAGTGCAGAGGGGGAAGGGTGGCTTTAGTCATCTGCTGTCATTCCTTTCACTGGGTCCTTTTGTCTCATCTGGAAAAGAAAAAGCAGGAAAAATGGAAGGCTCCTGCTGCTGATGGAACTCCCGCCTTCTCAGTCCTGCCCATCAGTGGGGTGGGTCATATTTTGTGTACAAAGCAAGACACTGAAGGACAGAATTCTATGTATGGACTTGAAGCCATACATTTCCAGTCTGTCACTGGCCTCACTATCCATGATTTCTAGTTCTCTTCCTTGTGTCACGGTGTTTGAAGCACTTTTTTTTTTTTGGTAGAGAGGTGTGTGTGTGTGAGGGTCTTCCTATGTTTACCACGCTGGTCTTGGACTCCTGGTCTCATGCAATCCTCTGCCTCAACCTCCCAAAGTGCTGGGATTACAGCACAGGTGTGGGCCACACTTTGGCCCTCTCTGTTTCATTCACTTATTCATTCAACAAATACTTACGAAACATCTTTTTTTGTGTGTGTGTGAGGAGTCTTGCTCTGTTGCCCAGTCTGGAGTGCAGTGGCGCAATGTTGGCTCACTACAACCTCTGCCTCCCAGATTCAAGCGATTCTCCTACCTCAGCCTCCTGAGTAGCTGGGATTACAGGTGTGCCCCACCACGCCCAGCTAATTTTTGTATTTTTGGTGGAGACGGGGTTTCACCATGTTGGCCAGGCTGATCTTGAACTCCTGACCTCAAGTGATCCGCCTGCCTCAGCCTCCCAAAGTGCTTGGATTACAGGCGTGAGCCATCGCATGCAGCCTCAGTGAGGCATCTCTTTAGTGCAAGGAACTTCCA